CATCTAAAGTAAGCACTTATTATCTTGTCGCTGTTCATGCATATGTTGAAAGATCGGTAACAGTATGCCATAACATAGAAAATCCGGAGAAAAGCAGCTGCATAAAAGTTTACTTTTACAGAAATCAAGAAACACAGTAAAAACGACAATAAACAAAGCGTCGAAACGTGCCTCATCAATCTTGAAGGCGTAAAAGTTGAGGTTCTGTAACTCCATAATAATTTCAAATCTACAGTAAGAAATACAGTCATAATCAAATCCGGTTCTTGGCAGTGCTCCATAGTTTTGCTACCTCACTAACCATGTGACAGTGACATTCATTCATTTGCGCTCCCACTGTGACTCTCCCGGTTGCTAACCCTAACCATCATTTGTAGGCTACTTGTTGTAGACTAGATGTTCCTGAATTTGTTAATAATTTATTTTTCACAATAAACTATTGCTGAAAGTTAAATTATGTCGAAAAAAAACGCTTTGAACAGGTTCTCGGCTACCATCAGCGAAATCTACAAACTATTGCTCAAGAAACGATTCATTTTAGAAAACGCTCAAAGAACAAACCCTTGTAAAGCACTAAATGCATGAACAAAAAGTTGATCCGTCTTACTAATGAAACAGCAATACCCATTCAACGCAGTAAATGTAGTCTACAATATCATTCTAAAAGGCATAATCCTCCTCATTCACTAAGCTCTTGAGTTTACAGATCGCTGAGCATTCATAAAAAAACAATTACATGCAATACGAGCTTCCGAATCATACTGAACATTATTTGGCAGGTGAAAGTATGGCAGAAAAATGACGTCAAATCAAGGCAACTCTCCGTTTCATCTTATTCCAGTGGTCAGGTAACCTGTCAGGTTTTTCAGCTGCACGTAGTTGTCAACCACCTACAAACAAAACAGTTAACAATATTACTTTGCAGTAAAATGTGGTGTTTATTATTAATAATAAATAGCATCTGCCAGTACAGCGATATATAGGCTTCAAGCATTATCCCATCAGATAAGGGTTACTGTTAAACTCTGCTATGGAAATATTTCATTGCAAGCAACTTCTGAGTTAGCTCATTGTAAAACAAATCTCGTCTCAGTCTGTAAAAAGAGTAAATTTTAACCAAAGAAACAAAGCAACAAACCAATGAGAACGGCAAAAATCCAGTTATAAAGCAACACTTACTTCTTGCCAACCATCAAATTCTGCGACATCAGCTAGCGCATCATCATGGTCCAACTCTGGCTTTTCTTCATATATCAGCATTTCAGCTTCATCGAGTACTTCTTCCGTCTGCAGCAGACGACCTGAAGAAATTAGTAGCATGGTAGGCAAGCTACAGAACTAACAACGATTCCTCTTCATTTGGAAGATCTGTCGTTACCGTTAATGCTCAATTACAAAGATTAAGAAACTGAAGATATCCTAGTAAACATTAGCACTGAATGTATTTTTGGGTCAAATGAGCCCATTTATCCACAAACAAATGGTCGGCGATCTATGAATACCTCTGTGACGTTAAACTCAGGTTCATATGGCTGAACTGCAGCCACATAAAGTACGATAGAAGCAACTTTCGCTAGCCACTATAGCACCTGTGAAGGCGAGTAAAACAAAAGTAAATACATGTCAAATTCCGGTGAAACGAAACACTTGGAATTACAAAATAATAATTCTCTATGCTGAATATACAAAAGAAATTACAGATCCATTTTAGTTAAAAATAGTTGTACTTTAATCATTACAAACCCACAGTTTTTCATTAAAAAGTCCGTTAGTTTAATTTTGCCATATTTTTTAGTAATACATTAAAAGGGAAAATGCCACTAAGCTGCTGAAGAATAATTGCTGGGACATCAGTAGTAGAAAGAAAAACGCAGGAACTTTTTTCAGGCTTCCTAAAGTTTCTGAAAACAAACTTTTCTCATTAGGTACCTTATCGTCATCTATACTGCTATATGCCATTGCAGCATTTCTGGAACGTTCCCGTATATTTTCAGTAATTTCTTCGTCTGTCAATTCACTCGTTGTCAACAAATTGCCATCTGCATCCATATAATCTTCATAATTAATTGTTTCGAACTCAGATGGCAGCAATTATAGAATTCTGTTTCTCTAATCTCATGTTTTACTTTCGCTCGTCTTCGCTGTTACAGTTGCGTCCTTCTATTATGCGCAAAAATCGAGATCTTCTTCCAACAGTTTACTACGTTGATTCTTTTACGAACCACCATACCGGAAAGATCATATCACATGCTTCTTTAACATCTATTTTTTCACTATCCACTGAAACTCATCTTAGCAATAAAATTTTGACAGTTGGGTCCTGCAGTGCATTTTCACTACACGTATGATTCCTACAAAGTCAAAATATTGCAGGACAGCTGTATAATTTGGAAGTAAAATTCGACTTTAACGTGTTCTAATACACATGTCAAATTATGTGCCGAGCAAATATGAAAAAGATTTTTTCATTTTCATTTTTTCATTTGCGTAGCAGGTAACTCCACCATCGAGAAGGATTTTTCAGTCTCATTTTTTCATTTGCGTAGCAGGTAACTCCACCATCGTAATGAATAAGAGTACTTACGTGAACACCTGTCACTGTTGCAAGGTCACGTTCGAGTCAGAAGAACACAAGAAACTCAACCAAGGGTCAAGGGTTAGGAGACATGTTTCTACAGCTAGGCTATCACCTTCCACTGCGTGAAGATGTTAAATTTTGTAAGTACAGTATGTGGCACGCCAGAGTAGTGCTCTATTTCACGACTGAACAATTCAGAGTAGCTCTGAATAAAATAAAATGTCAACAATACTTGAAATATTTTCTTTCCAATAAATCCATGTGTTACTGTTTATTTGTTTATTTCATAATGGATTATTGTGCAGAACTTCGGGCGACACCGAAACATCCTTCTGCAATGCCGTTAAAACCGAAAATAACCGAATTTAACCGAAG